CTTTTTGAAAAAGCAAAAATTTTACTACATGATCATGCTACATAGACTAACATTTTTCACCATATGACGTAACAATATATAATTAGTATTTGATTAATAAATAAATTCATTTTTAAAATTGAACGAGATCAGTTAGTTCATGGTAATCAATAAATAAAAATATTTATTGTTACATTTGATAGTGAAGAAAATTTTGGTCACTATAATACTATATTTTAGTACATTACTTTGTTTTTTTTTTGAAACAAACTTTTATTTTATTCTTAACTCTTTAATACCTCGGTAAACAATATACACTAATAGTAGTATAGTTTTTTTTTTTTTTTTTTTTCTCGATAACAATTGGCTGTAGAAGATTTCATGATTATTTTTATGAGTTAATACCATCTAAGGTCCTCCAAATATAGTGGTTTCGTCACGTTTAGTCTTAAATTTTCAAATTAACTATCTGTGGTCATTCAACTTTCAAAATTAACCATTCATGGTCCAAGTTAACCTCTCATGATCTTTCAACTTTCAAAATTTAACCAATCATAGTCCTTTCAATAGGACCACGGGTGGTTAAATTTTGAAAATTGAAGGACCATGTGTGGTTAACTTGGACCGCGAAGGGTTAAATTTGAAAATTGAAGAACCATAAATGATCAATTTGAAAGTTTAGGACTAAATATGACAAAACTATTATACTCGAAAGATTTCATGTGGCATTAACTCTTATTCTTATCGTTATGATTAATCATTATAATGGAAATACATATTATGAATTGCATTTTTCTTTAAAAAGTTAAAGCCAGTACTACATATATATACATAATTTTGAATCCCAACTTAATGAACCATGTCATAGATAAAGGTGCACAATTGTCACAATGGGTCCCATTTTACCCCATGCCCCTACAACACGTGTGTACAGCTTTTCATTGCCCTCTCTCAATTCTCAAGTCTCCACTATGAGTCCCACATTTTCAATTCTTTTCATACCACCTTCACCTACTTAACCAACACTAGAAAGTTCCCTTTAATATTGGCCAATTTTTCTTGTTGGGTTAGACCACGAAATGTTCTGAGTAGACCATAGTTGTATGAAGAATCTTTGAACTCGTACTATATTTAGATTAATCCACGTTCGTACCGGGTCACCCCAACTAAGGAGCAAAGTACTGTCATATTAATTTTTTCATACGAGAAGAGGTTCGAACAGAATGTATGACTACTCACGCCAACCAAACTGGTTATTTAATTAAAAATTTTAAATTTAATTTTTAGATGTAAATATTTGAAATTCCAAATTTAGCCCTTCCATTAAATATTTGGAAAACAACAATTGCCAAGGTCAAAGGGAAAGTGCGGCTAGTATAGTTTAACTCTTTTAATTTGTATGTAGTTTGTGACTTATTACACATGAGTGTGATTTATTTTGTGTATATAGAAAGTAGTATTGAGTTTTCTTAATAATAAAAAAGTCCTCAAAATATTGGTATAATGAATGAAAATTTTGATGTAAACTTGTTCTTAATAACAAGTTGGAGGTTTGATTCTTGTCACGAATATCGAATTTGTGTATAAAAACAAATAATTTAATATTAAATTAACTTAATTTATTTGTTATTTATAGACCAATAGTAAATTTACTGGTCCAAGATATAGTATAGAGAAAGACATAAACCTAAATTATAATTTTTTTTTTTGAAGAAAAAGGAAAGTGCGGGGCCCAAAGCTCATTGAACAAAGTGAAAGCTATTCCCCATGCTTCTTCGCATACTGCTACACTGCTATCACTAGCGTCACTTCCCAAAAATCATTTTTTTCAAAATAATAATAATGATTATTATAATAATGCTTCGTAATAATTATTAAAATAAAGAAAAACAGATTAATAAAACATGGAATTTCCTGTCCGCACTAAACAAAGATTCCTTTGCTTTTTGGCGGGTAAAATACTCTTAATTTCCCTCATTTCCCGCTAATACTGTATTCTAATGTCGTCTTTTTGCTGCAGATTTTTTTGTTAATTTTTAATGAAGAATTAAAATACTACTATAATAATTATTAAAAGCACTGAACAACAAATTATTATTTCATATAATATAATTTATGCTCAGCATAAGGGACACGAAATACGCTTTATACAAAAGATGATAATATCTATACTATATATAAAAACAAAATTCTGAAATTTTAACTTCCCGCTCAATTCCTAAAAAATCTCTCTTCCTAATAAAATATATTAATTTTTACTTTCCCCGTACAATAATCCTGCGTTAAAATCCTATTCTAATATTATAAAATAGTGTAATACAATCTATACAATATATAAAAACAAAATCCTGGAATTTTAACTTCCCGCTCAATTCCTAAAAAATCTCCCCTCCTAATAAAATATATTGATTTCTACTTTCCCATTCGTACAATAATTCTGCGTTAAAATTCTATTCTAATATTATAAAATAGTGTAATACAATCTATACCATATATAAAAACAAAATCCTGGAATTTTAACTTCCCGCTCAATTCCTAAAAAATCTCTCTTCCTAATAAAATATATTAATTTTTACTTTCTCATTCATACAATAATCCTGCGTTAAAATCCTATTCTAATATTATAAAATAGTGTAATACAATCTATACTATATATAAAAACAAAATCCTGGAATTTTAACTTCTCGCTCAATTCCTAAAAAATCTCCCCTCCTAATAAAATATATTGATTTCTACTTTCCCATTCGTACAATAATTCTGCGTTAAAATTCTATTCTGATATTATAAAATAGTGTAATACAATCTATACCATATATAAAAACAAAATCGTGGAATTTTAACTTCCCGCTCAATTCCTAAAAAATCTCTCTTCCTAATAAAATATAATAATTTCTACTTTCCCATTCGTACAATAATTCTTCGTTAAAATCCTATTCTAATATTATAAAATAGTGTAATACAATCTATACTTCTATACTATATATAAAAACAAAATCCTGAAATTTTAACTTCCCGCTCAATTCCTAAAAATATCCCCTTCTAATAAAATATATTGATTTCTACTTTCCCATTCGTACAATAATTCTGCGTTAAAATTCTATTCTAATATTATAAAATAGTGTAATACAATCTATACTATATATAAAAACAAAATTCTGGAATTTTAACTTCCAGCTCAATTCCTAAAAAATCTCTCTTCCTAATAAAATATATTAATATCACCCAACCCCTCCCCTAACCTTTCCGCATCAACTATAATAGGTATGCCCCTACTCTTTACCTCCTGCACTACAATCAAAGCAGTCTCATGTAGCCTTCCATCTAAGTAGACAATATTTACTCCAAGCGCTGAAGACAATTTTGATTTGGGTATGTAGACCCTCAGATATCATTGGTGGATATCTTGGAGTGAAAATGCACGTGCGAGTTTTTTTTTTGGTTGACAACAATGACATATGTGAATGGTGAGTTTCCTCCTTTGGACACCACCATAAAAGATGTATCAACGTCATCCCTTTCAAGCTCATCAAGTATTCTTTCGCCATGCGAGTCATCAGCAACCTTAGATATGATCCTTGGATTAAGACCAAGACGAATTTTATCATCCGGGTTTTATCAAAGCATTGCCAGTGTTACCACCTCCTTGAACCTCAAAGTTGGTGCTCCGAATTTTATCATCCGGGTTGGGGAATGAAGCTACAGCAGCCATGAAGTCAACACCGGCCATTCCAACACCTCAGACAATGCGATTTTTTGGGAGCGGCGGATTCCACATTTTCAGCTTGAAACTTCAATGAATTTCAGGTAGAATAACAGAGTAGAGTTTTTGAGGTTGTGCACCAAGTAGTTGTGGTCAGAGAGAGAGAGAGAGAGAGAGAGAGATATGGGAAGGATAGTTGTGGTCAATATGGAAGGGAGGACTTACAGGTGCAAATTCTACATCACGTCATCTACAACTACAACTGCTATTTACCATAGGAGGGTTCGCCGACCTGCTGCCCTCTCTGCTTCGCTGGAACCAAAAACCACTGGTGAAGGCCCCAACCTCGCCGGATCTGTTGCTGCACCGCCAGATCTACCTTACTGGTCCGTCGCCGGAAGGAGTTACTGCCTCGTATGCTCGCCGCCGTACCCACAACTCGCCGGAGAAGAACCTCGCTGCTACTCACTACCGACGGTTACTACTTAGCCACCAAGTCTCGCCATCTCGCCTCACAGGAGTCACAACAGCGCTGGTCTAAATAAGATTAGAAGAATAAGACATAAAAAGACAGAAAAGTCCTTCTAATTCACGGTCAACAAACGACTTCATTGACGGATGATCAAAATTGTCCAACAACCAATAACAGTGTCTACTAAGTGGCAATTTTTAATATGGAGGATGAAAAGTGTCAATGCCTCAATAAGTCTAGGACAAAAAATGGCATTAACTCCGGAATACAATACAAGAATATTTAATTATGATTATATTATTATTGTGTCTCACGACCATTATATACTAACAGTACTTGAAAAGAAACTAATAATAATAATAATATAATAAAAATATAAGTGGTAATAATAATATCTAAAAGTAATTAAGTGTTAATAATAATAGTAAGAATATTAACGTAAGAGTTGTAATATAGAATAAATTGTAATAATTAATAACTATAGTCTAGGATTAAATTTGGAATTGTCAGGAAAGATAAACGGCCTCTGGTGAAATTAACTCTTAAATAATTATATATCGATTTAAATATTCTTAATATATTACAACAATTCCATTCCGTGCATCGCACGGGTGAAAATACTAGTAATTAGATAAAAAAAAAATGTTTTTACTTTCTAATGGGCTGATTTCTCGTATAAAGATAGAATGCTTTTTGAAAAGAAATTTTAGTAAAGTAATTAATTGATTAATCTGATAAATGTAGAATTCGAATCCCATTACAAATTTAAAAGTCATTAAGAGATCTTCACTAATGTATTTTGTTTTGAAAAAAAAAAAAAACAAAAGAAAACACAACATAGGGGTGTGTGTTTTGGTCTTCCACAATCCGCCACTCGTGACACTTGAAGTGAGAGAAAGTGATGGGAGTAGAGAGAGAGAGAGAGAGTGAGACTGGGGAGTGAATTCGTCCAAGAACCAAATGCTGACAAAAAAAAAAAATGTTCAAAGTCATTAGCTTTCTGGGTTTGAAGTGCTTTATCTCTCTTCTCTCAAGTCTGGAGAGAAAGCAACACTAGGGTTTGGGTTTATCCGAGTTGTGATGAAAATGCCAGCATGTGTTTGTAAAGGCCAAAGCTTTTTCAATCTTAATGGCATTCAATGAAGGTTGACTGCTGATTCAGACACCCATTTACTCACAAGAGCCGCTTTGTTTACTGATTTTTGCAGAAGTTTTGAGCTTTGGTTTCTGTCAAAGAATGAATCCTGGAAGCAACTGAGGTACTACATTCTCGTTAACATAATTTCTTTTTTAATCCCAAATTCTTTCTTGTTTTCCTTGGGTTAGATCTCTGACAATGACCAAATGTGTTTTGTTTGTTTGTTTGTTTCCATTTATTGCATTGATACAGTTTGCTCAAGCTAGAATCTTGCTCTTCTGTGGCTTACAAGTGTTCATTTCCTGGATATCTGCTTGGAACTTGTTATCTTGTTTTGAGCTTAGCTGTTTAGGGTGTTTTGTGGGATCTCAGGATCTGTTTGGCTCTTGACATTGATTGAATTGGTGAATTTCTGTTCTTGGTGTTTCAGACATTGAAAGCTTGGAACTTTAGAAGGATGAAGCTAATTAGGCTTTTGATTTTGGCGGTTTGGTTTGGATTTGCCATTGGGCAGCTTCCTTCACAGGACATTTTGGCACTGCTTGAGTTCAAGAAAGGGATCAAGCATGACCCGACTGGTTATGTGGTTCAGTCATGGAATGAGGAGTCCATTGACTTCAATGGCTGCCCTTCCTCTTGGAATGGTATAATGTGCAGTGGCGGGAATGTAGCGGCAGTTGTCCTCGACAACTTGAGTTTATCGGCAGTTGTGGATTTAGGCGTGTTTGCCAACCTCTCGATGCTCGTGAAGCTCTCGATTGCAAACAATTTCATTTCTGGGAAATTGCCTGACAGCATTGCAGAGTTCAAAAGCCTCGAGTATCTGGATTTGTCTGGCAATCTGTTCGCCTCATCTTTACCGCCAGAAATTGGGAAGTTAGGGAGTTTAAAGAATCTTTCTTTGGCTGGGAATAATTTCTCTGGTTCGATTCCGGATTCAATTTCAGGGCTAGCCTCGATAGAGTCGTTGGACTTGAGCCACAATTCCTTTTCCGGGCCATTGCCCTCGTCTTTAACCAAGTTGTCGGGTTTGGTGTGTCTTAACCTATCCATGAATGGGTTTACCAAGAAAATTCCCAAGGGATTCGAGCTAATGCAAAAACTCGAGGTGTTTGACTTGCATGGTAATATGCTCGATGGTCATTTGGATCCGGAATTCTTACTGCTTACCACAGCAGCTTATGTTGACTTTAGCGGGAACCTGCTCGTGAACTCTGCTTCTCAACAACAGTCGTTTTTGCCCGCTATTTCTGAGACTGTTAAGTATTTAAATCTTAGCCATAATCAGCTTACGGGGTCACTTATAAGTGGGGGTGAAGCCCAAATATTCGGGAACTTGAAGGTTTTGGATTTGAGCTACAATCAACTCTCCGGAGAATTACCCGGGTTCAATTTCGTATATGATCTTCAGGTTCTCAAACTCAGCAACAATAGGTTTTCTGGGTTTATCCCCAATGATCTTCTGAAAGGGGATTCTCTAGTTATGACGGATCTGGATTTAAGTGGCAATAGCCTCACAGGTATGGTTATAAGTTTGATTTTTCGAGTAAAATCTTACATCCATTTTCAGTTTAGTGTAAAGATAACATTTTGTGTTCTTGATTAATATAATTCCTAGTATCACTTTGGGATTGAACCAAAAAATAATCATTTTGCAGGGCCAATTAGCATGATAACATCGACAACACTGAACATTCTAAATCTATCCTCGAATGCACTTTCTGGTGAACTTCCATTAGTGACGGGAAGTTGTGCTGTTCTTGATCTCTCTAAAAACCAGTTTGAAGGTGGGCTGTCGAGATTGAAGAAATGGGGAAATATTGAATATCTTGATCTCAGTCAAAATCGTTTGAATGGATCCATCCCGGAAGACACTGCTCAGTTTCTACGTTTACATCACCTGAACCTCTCGGGGAATACCCTGAGTGGTTCTCTTCCGAAAGTTATCACACAGTTCCCTAAACTTATCGTGCTCGATCTCGGCTTCAACCAGTTGGGCGGACCACTTCTCACCGCTCTTCTGACGTTACCTACTCTCGAAGAACTTATCTTGCAGCACAATTTGTTCTCGGGAGGCATTGAATTTTCTCCCCCGCCATCCGGTGGCTCAAACCTTCGTGTTCTTGATCTCTCTCGTAATAAGCTTTCTGGCTATTTCCCTGATGGGTTTGGGTCGCTTTCCGGGCTTCAAGTGATTGATGTATCGGGGAATAATTTCTCTGGTTCTCTGCCATCTTCTATTGGTGACATCAACGCTCTAAGCTCGTTAGATGTTTCGAATAATCAATTCAGCGGTCCATTGCCAAACAATCTTCCCAGTACTCTTCAAAGGCTTAATGCATCGTACAATGATTTCTCGGGCACTGTCCCGGAGAATTTGAGAAAGTTTCCGTTATCATCTTTCTACCCTGGCAATTCAAAACTACAATTTCCAAATCCTCCTCGAGGCCCGGGCCAAACTCCTACTGGAAGTAACAAAAAGAAGCCACTTAAAACTATAATCAAAGTGGTTATAATCGTTGCTTGTGTGGTTGCTCTTGTTATCTTGGTTTCGGTTGGCATTCTTCTTTGCTACATTCGCAAAAGAAGGCCTCGTCCACATGTTACCGACAAAGACATTTACCGTCGGTCCACAACAAATCCTTCCGATTTGAGCAGAAGAGAGGGTGGTAGCGGTTTAGTAGTTTCAGCGGAGGATATTGTGACCTCACGAAAAGGAACATCATTGGATATAATTAGTCCTGATGAGAAAATGGCGGCAGCTGCCATAACGGATTTCTCTCCATCTAAGACCAGTAATCTCTCTTGGTCACCGGAATCTGGAGATTCATACACTGCTGAAAACCTTTCAAGATTGGATGTCAGGTCCCCAGATCGACTGGCGGGTGAGCTCTATTTTCTCGACGATACTGTCTCGTTTTCGCCCGAGGAACTTTCGAGGGCCCCGGCTGAAGTCTTGGGCAGAAGCAGCCATGGAACATCCTACAGGGCGACCCTGGATAATGGCTTCCTTCTCACTGTCAAGTGGTTGAGAGAAGGGGTGGCGAAACAGAGAAAGGATTTTGCCAAGGAGGCTAAAAAGTTTGCGAATATTAGACATCCAAACGTGGTAGGATTAAGAGGGTATTACTGGGGCCCCACACAACACGAGAAACTTATTCTTTCAGATCACATTTCTCCGGGAAGCCTAGCAAGTTTCCTCTATGGTAAGTTTTATTTTCTGTCATGTCCAGTGTTACAATCCTTATTTTCATACTTGCAAATCGTTTTGTTTAATATCCAGCAACATCTATATCTTTTTTGTTTTCTTCGATTTCCTGATTTTATAACTTTGCATTCTGATTTTAGTTCTTTATGGCTTTCTAACATGCTGTACTTGTGCAGATCGACCTGGAAGAAAAGGTCCGGCTTTAACATGGCCTCAACGACTTAAGATAGCAGTTGATGTTGCTCGTGGCTTGAATTATCTCCATTTTGACCGTGAGGTTCCACATGGGAACCTCAAAGCAACCAACGTGCTGTTGGATGGCCCGGATCTTAATGCCCGGGTAGCTGATTACTGCCTGCACCGCCTCATGACCCAAGCAGGAACGATCGAGCAGATTCTTGATGCAGGAGTGTTGGGGTATCGGGCACCAGAGCTGGCTGCCTCGAAGAAGCCACTGCCCTCTTTCAAATCAGATGTATATGCTTTCGGAGTGATATTGTTGGAGCTTCTAACTGGAAAATGTGCGGGCGATGTGGTTTCTGGAGAAGACGGTGGGGTTGATTTGACGGACTGGGTGAGGTTGAAGGTGGCGGAGGGTCACGGTTCTGATTGTTTTGATACTGTGCTGTTGCCTGAGATGGGGAATCCGGTGGTGGAGAAACATATGAAGGAGGTTATGGGAATAGCCTTAAGGTGTATACGCTCTGTATCGGAGAGGCCGGGGATCAAGACTATCTATGAGGACCTATCATCTATATAATGTGATATTTTAGCTTCTGGGAATCAAATAGCTCATTGGTATCCCTTTTTTTTTGTTCAGTTGAAGTAGGATTGTTAGTGTGGATGAACTAATTCTATTAACCATTGCTGTATATTGTGGGGCTGTGTTGCTAATGACCTTTTGTGCTCAAGTGGTCAAAGAAAAGTATATTGGGGATGTGTTTCTACTTAAATCTTACAAAGGTACAAAACCTTAACCCTTCATTTCCCTTTTCTGTATATGGGGAAGAGTTCTCTCAGCTCAAACTAAATATACTTTAAAGGAAACTGAAATATCCTTCACTTATATCAATCAAAACATTTATCCGTTAATCAACTGTTTTTTGCCAATATTTACAACAAATCACATCGAATGACAAAAGGCATTGTAACAAACCCATCTCAAATACAGATTATACACATTATATAATACATACAACAACCAATAACTTGATCTACCTGTCCCTTCAAGATGAAAACCAAACACCCACGAGAAAACCAACATTGTACAAGTGTTGGGCAAAGTGAGCGGAAGCCGAAGATACCTCAAGCACATACCTCCTCTTCTTCTTCTTCCTCGTACTCATCGTTATCGGCAGTTGCATCCTGGTATTGCTGGTATTCAGCAACGAGGTCATTCATGTTACTCTCGGCCTCGGTGAACTCCATCTCGTCCATCCCTTCACCAGTGTACCAGTGCAAGAAAGCTTTGCGCCTAAACATGGCTGTGAATTGCTCACTGACACGCCTGAACATCTCTTGAATTGAAGTTGAATTTCCAATAAAAGTGGATGACATCTTCAGACCCCTTGGAGGGATGTCACAAACACTGGATTTTACATTATTGGGAATCCACTCTACAAAGTACGAGGAGTTCTTGTTCTGAACATTAATCATTTGCTCGTCAACTTCTTTGGTGCTCATCTTACCACGGAACATTGCTGAGGCAGTTAGGTAGCGGCCATGACGAGGATCAGCAGCACACATCATGTTCTTGGCATCCCACATCTGCTGGGTAAGTTCAGGGACAGTGAGGGCTCGGTATTGCTGGGAGCCTCTAGAGGTCAAGGGTGCAAATCCAACCATGAAGAAGTGCAGACGAGGGAATGGGATAAGATTAACAGCCAGTTTCCTAAGGTCAGAGTTTAGCTGTCCAGGGAACCGAAGACAGCATGTCACACCACTCATGGTTGCGGAAATCAGGTGGTTGAGATCACCAACTGCAACATGGGAAAGCAAAAAATAAAAATATAATATCAGGATTTAGAATACAATTGCTGTGAAAACATTAAGAACAAAGAAAGCCATCATGTCAATGAAATGTTTCCATTATATAGAAGATCACAATATAAAACAAATTATCAAATTACTTTGTCAATCCTATTTAATTTGAATGATGGCAAAGTACATAAATTAGCACTTACAGGTAGGAGTTGAAAGCTTGAGAGTACGGAAGCAGATGTCATAAAGAGCCTCATTATCCAGAACCATACACTCATCTGCATTCTCTACTAGTTGATGAACAGAAAGGGTAGCATTATATGGCTCAACAACTGTATCAGATACTTTCGGTGAAGGGAAGACAGAGAATGTCAACATCATACGATCTGGATACTCCTCCCTGATCTTGGAAATGAGAAGGGTGCCCATACCAGATCCCGTGCCTCCACCTAAAGAATGGCAAACTTGGAAACCTGTTTATTCATAGGGAAAGGAATAAGCATACAGAAAAGGTGGTACATGGATTAAAAAAATTAAAATCACTTGGAACACCAACACATTTCCAACTTCATCTTATAAAGATGCTAAGTATATCAGACTTAAGAATCAGAAGAGCAAAGTAAAAAACCAAGATGCAACTAACAATACAGGACTACCAGGAGAGCAAATTAACAAAGCCATATGTTCCAGACTTCCAAATACATTCAATCAATAAAGGTTGTTCCAGATTCCAGACAGGAAACAGAAATTACTAAACAATAGCATGGTTATGCGTGCACAAATGAGCTACGTGAAAAATTTCTAATTTCTAATAACAAAATTAAGAGAAATACAAAATAGCAGTCCTTGTTCCCATATATACCAATTCAAATCCTTCAATATTTTTATGTGTTTGAGCCAAAAGGAAACTATTGAAAATGTTCAGATATGTGCAGATTCTCAATCAACAGATATGACAAATAGTTCAGTAGATCTACCCCTAAAAAAATATAAACAAAGAACCACAAGCAGAAATTATTACTACGTACAATATAAATACGCAAAGAAAGAGAATAACCTTGTATACAATCGCAGTTCTCAGCTTCCTTGCGGACGACATCGAGGACTGAATCAATGAGCTCTGCGCCCTCGGTGTAATGGCCCTTGGCCCAGTTGTTCCCCGCGCCAGACTGACCAAAGACGAAGTTATCGGGGCGGAAGATCTGGCCAAAGGGGCCTGATCTGACGGAATCCATGGTACCAGGCTCGAGGTCCATGAGGACGGCACGGGGAACGTATCGGCCGCCGCTGGCCTCATTGTAGTAGACGTTGATGCGCTCGAGCTGGAGATCGGAGTCACCGCTGTACCTGCCGGTGTGGTCGATGCCGTGCTCGTCGCAAATCACCTCCCAGAACTTGGCTCCGATCTGGTTACCGCATTGACCTCCCTGAATGTGAAGAATTTCTCTCATCTTACCTCGCTTTTCTCCTCAAAATCCGATCGCAACAGGTCAGACGATTCTCTCTCACTCCTTTCTCTCGGTCTGCTCCCAATTCCTTCTCTCTCTTGATCTGATTCGCGGGGATTGGAGAAATAAAATGCGGGAAGGTAGAGAGGTTCTATCACTCGCCAAAAAGTTTTGTTTCGGATAAGAAAACAATCTCTCTGAACCCCCTGAGATTTTTTTCTCTTTTACGCAATAATTATTATTATTATTATATCAAATATTTTTAATTGACAATAAAAATGTCATTTAAAAACATGTAATCCTTTATCTTTTACATTATAAAATAAAGAAGGAATAAGGGTCAAATAGGTCATCGAATTGTACCTGATAATACAATTAGGCCACTGAACCCAAAAAACTAACAATTAAATCTCTAAATTAACCAATTCTTAACAATTCATCCAATTTGAAGGTTTCTAACGGGTCAACAATCAAATTAATTATTTTAAAAAAAATAAAATTTAAAAATTAATTATTAAAATTAAACAAAAAAAACACAGAAACCGCCGGAGACGAAGAAACTTCTTCATCTCCGGCCTGTTTCTTCGTCTCCATGGCCGGAGACGAAGAAATTTCTTCGTCTCCGGCGGTTTCTGTTTTTTTTTTTTTTTAATTACTTAAATAATTATTTTTTAAATTTTATTTTTTAAAAAATAATTAATTTTGGAGGATGACCTGTTAATCTGTTGGAAACCTACAAATTGAAAGATTTGTTTGAAATTGGTTAATTTAGGGACTCGATTGTTGATTTTTTAGGTTCAGTGGCCTAATTGCATTATCTTGTGTAGTTCGATGGCCTATTTGACCCTTATTCCAGTTAAGAAAAATGTCAAATAAACTTTTAAACATAACTGCTTAAAATCTTTGACTTTTTAGATGTGCAATTACATTCATCAATAATTTATTTGATGCAATAAAATTCAAAACCAATTAATGACATAACAGGTTATTAGGGTTCCGTCAACTTGTATGCGAGATTCTGATGAAATTTCAAACAACAAAGTGACCGGGGAACGGTCGCCCATTCACGGAGAAGGAGACCAAGATCATCTTCTTTACAAGGAAGGTGACCACTGTGTTGGAGGATAAAAATGTAATATCCTCCCTCTTCCTTTTTATTTCTATTATTCTTTCTCTTATATAAACCGAACCAGTGTATCTGCGTGGATCTGATCTCTCTTCATTAATAATATCATCTTTCTTCTTCATCTTCTCCGCACCTCTCGTTTCTCTCTGCTTCTTTCGTTCTCCATTGATGTAGCCACTATTCCAACATGGTATCAGAGCGGCGAGGCAGCCACGCCGCCGCTGTCACCGTCGCCGGAAAATCGAGTCAAAGCACGGCTTATCCGGTGATGTCGATTGTTAAATCCCTAATTCCGCAGAGGAAGCCAATCAATCTGATTGCTACGCAGAGTAGTCGATCAATTCCGCAGAGAAATCCAGAAGATAAGGGAACCTCCACAGTCGTTCCGCATTGGAATGAAGGAGCACGTCCGTCGATCAATCCGCAGAGGATTCCGAGTTTGGAGCAGGAGACGTCCGTAGCCGATCCGCAGCGGAAGGACGGACTTCTCAGTCAGAAACAGATGGAAGAATTTACAGATTCAGCTACAACGGTTGTACTTCTTCATCTGAAATACGTTCAGAGAGCCATGGCTTTGAAGTACGTGGACTCAATTGAGCGAGAGTTTCTGGATCAAACACCGTCATCTACACTTCGCAGAGTGCCGGGGAAGCGGATCCCGTTGATTGGGGATTGGCTTGTTTAGATCCAAGTTGTTAGTCAAAATTTAGGCCAGTTAGCCATCAGACAAGTCTCCGCAGCGAGGCAAAGAGAAGAGGAACTTAGAATCAAGTAACGGAAAGCCGAGGAGCAGAGTCGAATCGCATTGATTTCTGATTTTGAGAATAGGAAGTTCCTATTGATTTATGATTTCCAGGTATCACCACTGATGCCCTTTCTCGAATCGCATCAAACGTTTTTTGCACAAATTGTTGGATTTTTTATTGTTGAAGATCGTGTTTTGAGGATTGGTGGTGGTTTGATATCTAAAGTGGTGGTGGAGAATTTATGGGGCATTGCTCTTAGTAGGATGTGTTCTGTTTTAGAAGATCAATTTTCTATGATGCAAACTGCTAACCATTTGCTGCTTATAAAGGACTATATATCTGAGGATCTAACTACTGAGGGTTTGTACAACATGATGAAGGATAATGGTTTGGATGACACATCACTGAGGGATGTTTGCTATGCCTTTATCATTGTGAATTTGTCTGCTGAAAATTTGATTCCAATTACTGTTGATGATGAGTATAAGGCTAGAGATGGTGGTGCCCCCACGCAGGACTGCTTGAACTATTTCTTCTGCTTTCGTTGTCTTCTGCGAGAAGTTAGGCCGTTTTTCAGTACTGGTGATGCAATGTGGTGCTTGTTGATATGTGACATGAATGTGTCCCAAGCTTGTGCAATGGACAGTGATCCTTTGAGTAATTCGGTTTTGAATGGGGTGTTAAATCACAATCCCTCAGCTTTTGTGCAACCTCAGTTGAAAACAGAGAGTAACAATGCTGAATCCAACACAGTTATTCCTTGTAAACCAATCCCTTCAGTTTATTATCCATCTGAAACACCAAATGTAGATTCAGACGGGCATAGGTCTCAGTTGGGAGCACCCACAGCTGTAGGCGTGCAACATGAAAAGCCCCAACCTTCCTTTGTTCTCAATGGACTTATCACAGAGAAAAAGTCTTCAAATTCTTTGTTTGACACTGCTGATAAGTCCTTCAGTGCAGCGGCAACATCCCATCCTTCTGCTGCAGATGAAAAGTTAGTGGGCAGTAGAAAAGTTTCAGGAACCACTAGGAGGGAATTTGAATTTGAGAAAACACTGCGGTTGTGGGAGGTTTTGTGGACACAACATTTGACTGAGCATCTGCACTTTTATATATGTGTTGCAATCCTGAAAAGATATCGGAGCAAAATAATCGAGAGAATATGGATTTTGACCCTCTACTGAAGTTTATGAATGAGCTGCACTGGAGGCTTACCGAAAATTCCATCAAGCTGGAGTTCTTGCACAAGTTGCTGCTGGATCTCTGAAGGTTTTCTGCAAAGGTGATGTTGATCCACCAATGGTCTGAGAAAATGGTCTGAAAAGAATGGGTGTATGAGGCCCACCATCCTTGGTGGACTCAATGAGAAGCCTGGATAGTCAAGAAAAGAAAAGAATTACATCAAAAACTCTACTAGTTGCTGATTTAGAATTACATCACTCTTTTGTATCTAAGCTGGGCATGTAGGATCTACACGCTCCAGCTTAGGGGGGGGGGGGGGGGAGGGGGGGGGGGGTGTTGGAGGATAAAAATGTAATATCCTCCCTCTTCCTTTTTATTTCTATTATTCTTTCCCTTATACAAACCGAACCAGTGTATATGCGTGGATCTGATCTCTCTTCATTAATAATATCATCTTTCTTCTTCATCTTCTCTGCACCTCTCGTTTCTCTCTGCTTCTTTCGTTCTCCATTGATGTAGCCACTATTCCAACACACTGAGTCATTAAAATTATATAATTTTAATTTTAAAATTATTATGATACTTTGATGATTAGAATTATAAAATAAAAGGAATTATAATTTCCTTCAATTAAACCACGTAATCGAGAATTTCATTAAATTACAGTGAACTAAACGACATATTAGTTCATACCTCAAATAGTTACTGCGGGGCATTTATAAAAATGAAAAAAAAACATATTTAAAGTTCCAATAAATATATAGCGGCTTTATAGAGATCTTCTGGAATTTGAAGTGGGATTTTGGGAAGTTGTATTTAACGCCTGTCCGCTTGACTTCTTGACAGCTCGGATAGTGCACTGAATGCCACGCCCATCTAACTGCCGGAGTTATTTCGTCTTCTTTCCCAAATTCATCGATTTTTAGGGCTTCGGCTTCTGCATAATTCTCTAATCTCTGATCTTTCTATACGCACGGATGCTTGACAAATATACACAAATCTCTTCCTCTATTGCAAATTTTTCGTTTGGAATTTGGCAATCGGGGCTGTAGCGGAAGGAGCCATGCCGTTGCGGTTTCCATGGAAGAAGAAGAAGACCGGTACCCGAATTTCCCAGATGGTGAAGGATCAATTTCATCGGAGAAAAAACGCCGCGTCGCCGCTCGTCGTCGAGACAGGTTTCCCCACTTCCATCGTCGATCTCATCGTTAATCATCGTGATAGGTTCAAGAAGCCGTCGTCTCCTTCTCTCCGCTCGAAGAAAAACAATCCTCCGCCGCCCCCGCCTTTAATCGATGATCCCGATTTCGTCTCTCCGCCCCAATCGCCGCCGCCGTCTATATCTCTGACTTCTCCCGCTCTTCTGATCTCCCCTCCAAGAATTGCAGTTCCTATTGCTGGTGATCAAGAAAGCGATGCCCCGAGTCACAGAGGAGAATCGCAGGACATAGTTATTCAAGGGGAAGATGGTATCTGCAACGCTATGAAACCCAATAGGGTGTTAGTGGTTGTTCTAAATATTTTCTTAATGGTTGTTTTGGCTCTGGGGACGAAGAAGTTCGCTTTGGGGATCACCGTGTCGGCGTTCCTGTTGTTCTTTCTTGAGTACCTGGGAAAACACGTGTCCGGGGTCTTCGAACCCTATTCCAAAGCGAAGGAGAGGCTGAGGCCGATAGTGATGGGAGCCTGGAGTTTTGTGAGCTCTAAAATGGGTAGATTAGAGGAAGAGGATTGCGTTTTCAAGTCGCCACTAGTTGAGTCAGTAAGCCCACCAGTCTGCTCTTTTGCGAAGAGTGATGGAAAAAGTAGTGTAATTCAAGAAATTGAAATCGAAGAGCTCGAAGAGGTTCAATACAGAAATGATATAAGTTATGAAAAATCCCTTTTTGATCGGGAATTGAAATGTGAAGGAGATTTGGAGGTTCGGATGGAGAAAGAAACAGAAGTTAGAAGTGAATTTTCTGAATTCAAGATAGGAGAGTCTCACAAGGCCAAGATAAAATCCAAAATGAAAATAGTTGTTCCAAAGAAGTTTAGAAGCTTCAGGAAGAAACCAAAAGACTTGGAAACTGAGTTAACCCCAACTGGGTACGGTAACTTTTCTGTTCTTGAGGAAAAGGAATACCATCAAGAGTTAGAATTCGAACACGAAAGCAAATTGAATGGAATTGTCAATGTGAGAGATGCTTGTGATGCCATAAGCAGTTCTGGGGAATTGATTGATGGAGTAGTGGAAACAATGGTAGTTGCCAAAGACAATTCAATACAAAAAGAGGAGAATTCTGGATATATGGTTCTCTTTTTGATTGCCCTTCTTGGTCTAGTTGGAGGTCGAGTCTTTGCACTTCTGTTTATCTTGGCATGGTGCTTCTTGTCGAGATCGAGAGAAGCAATAAGGAGATGCTTATAGGTGGCTACAGTCAGGTCATTTATCAATGGCTGAACTAGTTTGATAATCCACTTTTTAGTTATTGTTCATAGTGTTTTGCTTCATATTAAATGCTGTTATAGTTAGAGATTATAATTTAGTTCTTTGACAGAAATGTTCAATCTTTGGTTACTGTTTATTGTAGTATGAACTATGAATTGTAAATTTACAGCTATAAGATTACCCTGTTTAACACCTGTTCTGAATCAAATCTTGTGTTTATCTTGGCATGGTGCTTCTTGTTGAGATCGAGAGAAGCAATAAGGAGATGCTTAAATGTGCCTACAGTGAGGTCATTTATCAATGTCTGAACTCGTTTGATAATCCACTTTTTAGTTACTTTTTCTTTTGTTCATAATGTTTTGCTTCATATGAAAAATGCTGTTTTAGTTTGAGATTACAATTTAGTTCTTTGACAGAAATATTCAATCTTTAGTTGGTGACTCAACTGTTATGAACTATGAATTGTAAATTACAGCTACGAGATTACCCTGTATCACTTGTTACGAATCAAATCTTGGATGCCTGGCGATATGCTTGATTCTGTTATTTAGTCAATTCTTGTCTATTAGCTATACTCTGTATATCATAAAATGTTTATTGTGCTTATTATCTGCAAACAATGTACAGAAGATACTTTATAAATACTGATGAATTTGGATAAAAGAATGAAAACAATCAGAACTGTGAGCGGAGACTCTTAATAGTGGCACGGTTGACTTGGAAGGCCTTGGTGAGCAGATGATTGTTGATAGGTGGATTCGTCCCAAAGATGGAATTGGCAACAGAGATGACACCGGGATTCTGGCTGCTCAAGAAGGCAATAACGGTGGCATTTCCAGGGCCAACGTTCTGTTGGAAGTGAACATGTCCCGTGGGGAAGACAAAGGCATCGCCTTCCTGCAGGATCTTGGTGATGAGCCGATTCTCTGGGTTGGATGTCACAAACCCTACACTGATCTTACCATGCAGGACCAACAGTATCTCGGTTGCCCGAGGGTGGATGTGTAGCGGCACGACACCTTTCGGGAGGTAGTCGACTCGCACTGTTGAAATGCCAAGGGTGTTGAGCCCAGGGATCTGATCCACGGTGAGGCGGTTAATGCTGGTACCATAAATGCTGAAGTTGCCAGCCACGTTGAGCCCACCATAGGAGAAGTGGTGAGCTTCTACCATCTCGGGGTCCAAGCAAGGGAAGCCGTTGACCCTGATGGACGAGGAGCCACTGAAATCTGCAACGCAGATGTCTTGTAATGGACTAGGCTCTGACGCCATGGCAACAATGGCTACAAGACTTAACATGATAATGCTTGGAAGGAATCTCATCATCATCATCTTCTTCTTCTTCTTCTTCTTCTTTAACTTGGGAAGTTAGTTATGAGGAATGGATGTTCAGCTTCCCTATATATATACACGGACGAGGAAGGAAGGAAGCCGCCGCATGAGATGTATATGAGACAAGGATTTGGCTCCAATCAAAGCCTGATTTGGTCAAGTCATCTTTGTCTTATGAATGATCATGTCAACTAGGAGTTGGCAATTGAAGTGGTCTTCTAATGTTAATATGACACGTTGTTTTTAGTTTATTGAATAGGGGTAAACTTTTCGTTATGGCTAAGTTTTTATATGATCATGCATTATTTAATGAAAACAGATATTCAAATACCATTTTTTTTTTATTGATATCATAATGGATGGATAGTATAGTTTTACTAAATTTCCAAACCTAAGAGCCTCTCACATTTTGACTCAACAGAACATTATGTAAATCACGATGACTTTTTACACTTGTGGCTGTCGAGATCCGGACTTTGGTTACTTCTCTCGAATATTACTTACTGACTTATTGAGTTAAGCCTTTGTGGATAGTAGTTTTAGTAAATCCATTCTAGCCAAATGATGATGTAGAAGTTGGATTGAGTCGTTATATATTAGCATGGTGAATACAAAGTCAGCCTTGAAGGCTAAGTTATTTGGATCTTGCTTTTAGCTCCATCAAGCCCCAAGCCGACTTGATCGCCATATATTGGATCGTTTCACTTGTAATTTACAACAACAGAACAAGTAGTAGTAATTAATTTAATGGGATTATATATGTTTATTTTATTTTTATATTTTTTACATGGGAGGAAGAAGAAAAAGTCACTAATAGATAAACTTGGTCCAAACAACACGAATGCTATTACTGTGTATATCATAAAAATTTTATTGTGCTTTTTGTCTGCAAATTAAACAATGTACAGAACTAACAGAAGATACTTTTGGTAATGCATAAATGGAAGAAATTAAAGAATGACGAAAACAAGCATGAATTTGACAAGTGCAGATCGAAAAATATTTATTGGTCTGACAAATTACATAAGCGAGCGTATAGTATTTCTCCTTCACCGTATATCTTCATGAGAGTAGTTTACAGTACGTACGTCCAAAGTAAAGCATGCATGCATGCATGCGTGTTTGGGAAGCTGGAAATCTTAGCAAATTAAAGTGCCTTAATTACAATATTGGTGTCAGTGGGAGGCAAACGCGACCCAAAAATATTGCATGTATATGTTCAGAGATGAAAACCAGCTAGGCTGGCTATTTCACTTCATCTTCTTCTTCATCTGCTCTGCATGTTAAATTTTACCTAGCTAGCTAGCTACTTTTCTTGCTGGTTTTCGTCGGTGGCAGAGTTCCGAACACCCTGTCCCAGAACGCCGACGTGATTCCAAATCCTTTGTCCTGAATTTTGAAGTGATGATCCATGTGAAACCTCTGCAGATATACACAGAAAAATAGTTCAATAGGGTTTCACCATTTCTCAACTTTCTCTATTGAGAGCATAATATATAAAGCTAATAATTAAATGTATAGTTTTGGGCAACCCCAACCAACTTGGTCGAGTTGTTGGCTTGATAACCATGAGGTTTCAAATTCTGTATAGTTTCGGGTGCAACCCCAACCAATTTGGTTAGGTTGTTGGCTTGGTAGCCATTAAAATTCCAAGTTCTGTATAGTTTGGGGTAACTCCTACTTGGGTTGTGTACTTGGTAACTACAAGATTTCAAGTTTTGTATAGTTTAATTTGGAGGTAACTCCAACCAAGTTAGTAAGACTGTTGATTTGGTAACCACAAGATTCTAAGTTCTATATAGTTTCGGCGTAACTCCAGCCAAGTTGGTTAGGTTGTTGGTTTAGATCTACCCTATGTGTGAGCGGCCGGCCTTCTTGATTTGAGACAGTCAGAAGTAAGCTATAAACCTGAGCTAGTACGTTTACCTCCTTGCGATCATTTGCTGGTTAGGATCACAAATTCACAATACAGGATTTATCTCATACACACCCTTATCACCCAAAATAAATATATAGTTTCACTGTCATCAATTAATTTACCATTTTCCAGTTTTGTGATACCTTGAGATGATGGGAAACCCCTGTCAATGGCTTGCCATGGTGCAAATAGTAATGGGTGCAATCATACATCACATATCCAAGCAAACCTCCGGCGAGCAAGGCGGAGGAGTACATTAGCGGAGCTAGAAGTTTAACCAGATTCCATATCTGAACCCAAACATCATCGTATCAGACAAACATATATAACATCATAAGACTGGCGGCGTAGGCGTAGGCGTAGGAAGAATGAAGAAACATACGGGCACGAGTAAAATGGCGGTGGCGGCAGGAGGGAAAACCAGGCGCATTCCATCCATGGGGTGTTTGTGATGGCAGCCATGGATTAAATAGTGGAAGGTGTTTGACCTGCATGCATGCATTTAATTGTGTACGTAGCCATTAGCGATATTATATATATATATATGATGATACGGAGTATGATGGTAGAAAAACATGCATATATTATATATATATGCAAGAAACACACTATATATATAAAGGTACGTACCAATATCCAGATGGTTTAATGTGGAAGACGAAACGGTGTAGAGTGTATTCCATAAATGTCCATATACAGATGCCGACAAGCATTGTTGCGGCTAGCGCAGGAATAGGGAGTCCCATGTTTACCGAGGTTGATGCAAACCAACACACCACCGGTACCCATATGCTTGGAATTGCCCACCACGGGGTCAAAGTCAAGAACTGCATATATATATATGCATCAAACCCAACTATACATTATTAAAACCCAATTAATCAAGTTTTTTTTGTCCGCACAGACTTTGCTTAATGGTTCAATAGGTAATATATTTAAAAAAAGAGACTAATATTTGAACTTCAGCAGCGACAATGCCTAAAGTGGGCAGATCCTTCGTGCCCACCAACAGTGGTCATGTGATATCACTGTGATTTACATCTTCCCCAATGCTCTATCATACCGAGATGTGAGGAGGCCTTGAGGTTGGGAATTCAACCTTTTGAGAAAAGATTACTTTTTGATGGGTGGATTATAGACTTATTATACTGTATAGTGTCTCAATGACGCAGATATTCAAACTCTCAAACCCATGCATGAATATATGAGATTGGGTCTCATACCAAATTAAATGGTGTGCAAAAGTGATAGTTGGATTTTAGTTTTAGTTTTATGTTTATACGAGTATAGTACTCTAGTTCAAGTTCAAAAATTAAAATTTATATTATTGCTGAATAAATATTGATTATCATGAAAGAAAATGGGTATTACTATAAAGTACGTACCTCCATAAACCCATTTGCAAAGAATCTTGGGCCATCCTTGCTTACAATTGGTTGATGAACCCACTCCTCATATGCGTCTCCTAGATGGCCAACCTATAAATTAAAGTACCAAAGTCATTGAATATTTCTTTTGTTCCCAAGTTCATTATAACAATGTAATTACAGTTTCATGAATTAAACATATAATAAAATTATAATTTAAACTAAAGAGTAAGACAATTATATTATATTTAACACCACCAATACAATCTGCACTAATTAATCTATACTCCCACCACTATAAACTATCACTCTCTACTTGAAATCTTATGATATCAATTTAGTTTAAGATTGTCCCTAGAATTGATAGACTTAAAATAGAAAGAGTTGCCTTTGAATAGAGGGGTGACCAAGGTTCAACATATACATATTCTAGACATCATGGATAGATTTTTTTGAAGTGATTTTCAAATAGATAGATCAAGGATAACACAAGAATCATTCTGAGATATACTCAGATATCAATATATTATGTAAAAATGAAAAGAAAAAGGATCAGATTGTGTATATTTGGATACCACAATTTAAGGAATGATGGCACTAATTGGGTGAAAGTGTTTTCATGATTAGTGCCACCAATTAAAAAGACGATTCTCAGAGATCTCCAAACAAATATTAAGTAATTAAAACTTTGCTAAAAGAGATGAGATGAGATCACCTGGAAAACAAGTGGCTTGTTCAAATCCACAGTGAAGCCCTGTACAACCATCTTGGCACCCCTGACACGACACAGTACTATGATGTTTGGTACGTGGGAACCGCAAACGTGCGCAGACGACAGCAAAACTAACGATAAAACCGTAGCATTCAAACAACGTTAATCTGATCGAATCCTAATCAAATTAAAATAAATTAAGATTAGGTACCAAGGTGTGACAATGCCGGATCGAGGCTGCGATGCCGAAGCAATAGGCCTCTGACTCTCTGAGCGATCGCGAACTAATTAATTAAAAGTAATTTTTAATTTTTATTTGATTTATTTTAGTTTGTTGGATGAGAAAATTTGGGGGGTGGTGATGAATGGGAGATGAGATTAGATGGTTGGGATCGGAAGTCCTGTTTAAGCGTTGGAGAGATTAACGCTTTGATTTGTAATGGAATACCTAAACCTTATACATTAAGAGATCTTTGGGGAGCCACTAACATAATATATATATATATATATATATATATATATATATATATATATATATATATATATATATATATATATATATATATATATATGTACTATTTCGTCCGTTTTAATACTATCAACACTTATCTCTGTGGTAGTCTGGTACCAATACAATCAAGTATATTATGTGTGGTTGTATTTGGTAAAAATTGCACGCATCATTTAACACATTAGAAATTTTATATCAGTAGAATAGTACAATTAAGTTCCTAACTTAAAAATATTCAAGGAAACATATATTAAACTGATACAAAAGTATATTAAATTGATACAAATGTATAATTGAATCTAACTAAAAAGTAATCATTCGTTTATTACTTATTTGACACATACTTGACATTGAGGTGTGCTTATGCGAAAAGTGATAGTGATTTAGAGTTAACATGTCATTTTAAATCATTTCTACATTTATAGTCATTCAAAGGATTGGAGGGTGAATTAGGTAAAATTTAGTTTGAAGTGGTTGTTCAAAGTGCTGGTCGAAATATGTCCAATTGTTATATGGTAGACCATGAAAACGGGTGTCGTTTCTTTAAGTAAAGAAATGGTAGCTGTTATATTTAACGATTCTTGTATTTTTGGTGTGTTTAGAACAAAATAAAACTACAATATATCTAAAATGAAACTGAATAACTTGTCTCACATATTATGTTTATATTATCAAATGAAACTGTAATTGAATTGAAATGATATTTTAGTTGTGTTGAAATAAAACTACAATATGCATGTATAAAATGAAACTAAACAACATTTCCCACATATTAAGTGTATATTGTCAAATGAAACTTTAGTTGAATTGAAATGATACTTTAATTGTACTGAAATGAAACTACAGTATGTATAAATAGAAACTAAATAACATGTCTCACATATTGAATGTTTATTGTCAAATGAAACTGTAGTTATATCAAAATGATACTTTAGTTGTGTTGTAATGCAACTATAGTGTATATAAAATGAAACTGAATAACAGTTTCACGTATTTGAGTGTATATTGTCCAATCAAACAATAGTTGAATTAGAATTATAATTTAATGGTGTTGTAATAAAACTACCGTGTGTATAAAATGAAATTTAATAACAGATCTCAATGTAATAAGACTACTATATGTATAATGTCAAAAATGAAACTTTAGTTGTGCTGAAATGAAACTACAATAATGTATATAAAATGAAATTGAATATAGTATACAAACATAATTAATTACATGAAACAGATGTCGTTTCTTTTCATTAAAAGAAACGACACCGTTTTAGACCATGGTCCACAGTAAAATTTGCCAAATATGTCTCGGACATTAATCTAGTGTATGTGAAATTTCACTTAAGACTTATTCTTCGTGATAGTGTGAGATTCGGTTCTTGTTATAAATATTGAAAGTTTGGGTTGGGTTCATTAGGTGTATAAGTGTACAGTTTCAATTGACATTTGGTATAAAAGTATCTCACAAGATAGCCACCATATATGATATATGTCCTACTATACATTATATTATTGTTTATGGTTCATTATATTAGTTCATATTTAGTGTTCTTTGTGATGGTAAGTTCACGGCAAATATTATTAGCATATTGTGGATTACACCGTTTTGACCAACTGATTAACCATCTCATTGTGACACTAAATATATTCAACTGTTAATTATTCATTATATTAATCCTTGGGTTACGTTTATTAACCCGCCAACAACAACAATAACAATAATGTACGTACGAAGAAATAAACTATATATAATCCTAAAGTTGGCGAAGCAATTTAGATTGATTGGTATAATGAATAAACATAGACATGGATGACAATGATACAGTACCCATAGGGGAATGAGAAGAAAGTTTAATGTTTACTACTACTATACACCACATATATATTTAAATTAGCTTCATATATATAACACATATAAATAATTATAAAGTACACATATTTTGTACAATTTGTTATATGCAAAAACTTGTGTGAGATCGTCTTACGGATCCTTGTCTGTGAGACGGGCCGGGTCAATATAAAACTTTAATACTTATACTGAAAAAATGTAATAATAGTCAGGAATAAAGTGTTTATTATTTATATAGAAAATTCTGATACTTTTGAATAAAAATTTAATATTTTACATTTTGATTTAAAAGTATTACATTTTCTCTTATAAGTAACAAACACTTTATTCCTTATTAGTATTACAGTTTTCAGTATAAGTATTACATTTTTATATTGACTCGACCCGGCTCGACTTGTTTCATGAATAAGGATATGTGAGATGGTCTCACACAAATATGATCCTTTGTTATAACGCTTCCCATAATTATAATTATACTCAGTGTTATAATTATAATAATAATAAAGTCCTTTATTGGTGCAACATTTTAATCGAGTCTTATTATTAATAAAAAAAATGATCAACAATAAATAATTTAGAAATATACAATTACTACTAAGTAGTTTGTACCTCAATAACACTTAGCTTCTGTGTCTTTTTCGAATGGGAGGTCACATAGATACTATCTATTTTGGAATTTTATTAAATATAGTATATCTGCTTTTGGTTTATATAGTATAATGAATTTTTTAAATTAAGTTCATTACATTTTACGAAGACATTTATTCATTTACTTTTTTTTTTTTTTTTAGTATGATGTGAGTTTTGTTATATTATTATATACTCAGAAAATTAAAATTAAAATTTGAAATGAGTTGCATCCATGATGATGCCAGCCATGCAAAGTTGTAGAAAATAAGGAAGACGACAGCTTTCATTTTCTGATTTTTTTTAAACAATAATGAACGATTATATTACAAAATTATAATTCAAAATCTAGCAACCGGCGGGTCCGACGCCAATTGGAATGTTTTTAAATTTTTTTTTGAAAGAGAATTATTAGGTTATCCTTATTCCCGCAATATTCTAACACTTTTAGAAATGGGTCCTACTTTCACATCAATCAATTTGCAATTCATTTACTATTCACATTACATTCCTGCAAATTCAATTAACTTTCAAAAATTGACTCCAATATCACATCAATTTAAAATATTAACTTAAAGGAAACATAGTAGTTGAAATTTTAAGAAGTGTCTTCAATCAAGATTTTTATAAATTTTTAAAAAGTTTTAAAGTGATTTAAATGACTTTCATAAAATCTTTCTAAACTCTCTTAGAATATTTTAGACTTTCATCAAAATATTTATAGACTTTTAAAAAAAAATTCATATAAAAACTCTAAATTGAAAACACCATTACAAATATTTAACTTCTATTAATACATTATTTATAATTTTCTTACAAATTTTTTTATAATATATAATATATTTAAACTAAAATACAATCAATTCAGGTTTTGGAAGTCATTAAGGGGGAACTTTTACTCTTTTTTTTTTTTTTTTTTTTTTTTTTTTTTTTTTAAGTATAAGAAGGGATTTGCTGTAAATGCCTTTGTGAAGATATATTATATTTAACATATATATGAGGAATAAGGAGAAGAAGAAATCTATATATGCATATCGTAATACTGTAATATAATTGCCAAAACACTGATGTAGATTTGTAGAGATTACAATAAATGAAATTAGGGCAATTTGATAGGAATAGATGAATACAAAAAAGATAAAAAATCAAAATGTATAAATATTTATGAAAATTTTGAAACCTACCATAAAATTTGAAAAATTTGTCTAGTTTAAACAAAAAAGAAAATGTATATAGACAATGTTATAAAACTTTTTTAAAAAATGAAGAAAATATATTACAAAATTATTTTTTATAAAACATTATTATCCAAACACCAAAAAATCCACTTCTAGAAGTTGTTTATCAGACTTTTTTTTTTTGTTTATCAGACTTTTAAACCGACTTTAAATTCTACACTTTGATTTTCTGCTTCTTACTGTGTTGTACAAAAAATTGGCGTATAATTGTTGTATATTGCTCTGTAATGAACAAATATTTGACGTTACTTGACTGGGTTGCCTCTACGATATTCTATCCTCGTTCGTACAGTACATGCCGTCCAGAATACTTCAAATATATACGAAAATCATTCATATTTCATAGTAGCTCACGCAAAAATGGCGAGCATGCAACGCCACTCTTTTCCCTTCTACAAATAATTATTAAACTTCGCAAATATCAGAATCTGAAGGGCCAGCGTCACATAAAAGCTAGTTTTCGTGGTTCAGGCTTTCAGGAGACGGAGAAAGACCCCAGCTTTACTGTAACTTTCTTAGTTTCTCAGGTAACTTTAATTTTCGGTTTAATTTCCCTTTGAAAAAAAAATGGGAATTGTTGGGCAATTCAGTTAACTTAGAGTTGGGAACTGAGTAGATCTGCTGCTGTTTGTTCAATCCGGTGATTCGCGGCATTGAGGTTGTAATTTGAATTCACATTGTCGATTTGGTTAATGAGATTTGTAGTTGTTTGTGTGATTTCAGTGTTCTGTGTGTGCATCTAACACTAATGCGTGATTTTGAAGCTCAATCCCAGAAAATTTCGATTGATTTTCAACTTTTTTCCGTTACCAATGCTCAGTCCTCGGAGAGAAAGTGTTTTCTTAACAATTAAGAATTGAATCATGCTTTTTAATCTCTGCCATTTGTGGGCCTTTGGCTGTCATTTCGCTCTATGAATCATGATTTTGAAGCTATTCACTGTTTTTCCTGCATTTTCTACTCTGCATTTTTATGAAATTCGGAATTCCAAATTGCACTTTTAGTGTATTTATGCAAATGACATATAAGTGCGCTTTCTAAAAGGTGTTTGGGTATCTCTCATTTGAAGTAAAGTATTCATTTTTGTGTTAAAAAATACATTTAATTACACTGCCTACATAAGTTCAAATTCTCTTGGATTTCCTTGCTCTCTTTTGTTCTAAATTTGCTCTCAGATCTTTATTCATTTATTTTGGATTAAAAGTAATTTGGAGTTTGGATTAAAAGTAATTTGGAGTTAACCTGAGGCTTCGAGAGAACTGTTTTCACTTGTGTTATAAGCTTCTGTAATTATACTAAACTCTTATACAGTTCAATAGCAGGAGGATTATTTTTTAGCAGATTTCCAGGTGAATCCAAAGCTATCTGCCTAACTTCATTTGTTCTCTGTTGTTTCCTTATGATTTGTAATATCAGCGATCTTCAAAATCCCGCGATGGTTGCACAGGAATTCACTGTGGATTTGAATAAACCGCTTGTCTTCCAGGTGAGAATTGCAATGCAATGTTATTGCTTTCTGCTGTTGTCTTCATTCTTTTAAGGCTCTTTATTTATTTCTGTTTGTGTAATTGACCAATAGCAATGATCTTATACGAGTTTGCTCCTATGCAATTTGGGAATAATTACAAATGAACTTTCACTGATCTTTTGGACTCTGTTTAGTGGAAAGATGTTGCCTTCTGTTTTCAAAGAAGTTATTTTCAGGTCTTGAGCTTGTAGGCTGGTGAGCAATTGGCTACTAAACATAGCCCAAGATTCTATTCAATGTTCCAAATAATAGAAGTGTTGACGAAGGCCGGTGAAGGGGCATGTCCAGCACCAGGTAGGTAGGGGTATTTTGGGCGGAGGCCTAAAGGGCCAAGTCCAGCATCCTGCCTCTCGAAAATGTAGTAGTATAAGAAAATTAAGTTGCGCCTTCGCTACTAGCTATATCTTTTGGCGTAATGGTAAGCGCTTGATCCTAACAATTGGTATCAGAGCCATGTCACGGGTTTGAAAACTGTGCAGTTAAAGTTGGCGCGGGGTGAGTGAGGGAGGGGGGGGGGGGGGGGGGGGGGGGCGCTTGATCCTATATTGACTGGCATTTTTACATGTCAGTCCTGCCCATTCTGAAAAATGTGAATAATCTTTGATTTATTCTTGGCTATGTTATCCACTTTCTTACCCATGGCCACTGCTCTTATCCAAAATCAGGAAAAGAATTGACTTTGTTTTTCTCAGAAATTTTGTTTCAGTTAGCCTGCATTCTTATTTTGATGCAATTCACTTCATTTTTGTGACTCCTGGAATCACCATTTCAGGTCGGCCATCTTGGAGACACTTATCAGGAGTGGGTTCACCAACCTATTGCTAGCAGAGAAGGTCCTCGATTCTTTGAAAGCGACTTTTGGGAGGTATTTCACTTATATCTGCTCAAACGTCCCATATTGAAATGTCTTACACTTGCTTGTTTAAGGTCACATTTCACTTCCACACAAATGTATATGACCATTTTCTACTTATATGTGCGCATGTAAACTTATGCATAGTAGTTCTTCTTATCATCTTGATAGGTATGCTGACTCTTTTAATTGAAACAGTTCCTCACCCTCACAGTTTGGTGGGTAATCCCGCTTGTTTGGCTCCCAGTTGTATGCTTCTGCGTTTCAAAGTCGATTCGGATGGGTCACACTGTTCCTGAGGTGGCACTGATGGTAGTATTTGGCATTTTCATTTGGACACTGCTAGAATACACTCTTCACCGCTTTCTTTTCCACATTAAGACAAAGAGCTATTGGTAAGGTCTAGGGTAAATGTTTTCGTGGTGTTTGAACTTTACCTTCCTATCTGATTTATTAAATATATATTAACTCTGTGATGCCAACTGCAACTTGTTGCAGGGGGAACACTATGCATTATCTTCTTCATGGTTGTCATCACAAGCATCCTATGGATGGGCTTCGCCTCGTTTTCCCTCCTGCAGCAACTGCTATTCTCTGTGTGCCGGTATGTGTCCACACACCATAATCCCGTTTTTCATTACCTGGAATTCTTCTTCTTCTTGTTCTGTATGTATTGTGGGTAGTGATCTTGAACTCGGATCCTTGTTTGTGTTGAGCATATAATATAACATAAACATAAATGTGCAATCCAACTATCAGCTTAGGCTTTTAGTTGAGATAGAGTACATGCTTCAATTTGGTATCAGAGCCATGCCAAAGGTCATGGGTTCGGATGTCCGGTTTTCTTCAGCTGCTGATGGATGAAGCTTTGTTATCGCAGTTTTGGAACATAATAGCACTCATGGCTACTCCTTCCACCACTCCCGCTTTGTTTGGAGGAGGTTTGCTGGGTTACGTCATGTATGATGTGACCCATTACTACTTGCACCATGGACAACCAACAAGCAAGGTTCCTAAAGGTCTCAAGGTAAGTTAATCTAAGATGACCATACGGGCAACTTTAGCTCGGGTTTGGTTTTCAGTTTTCAAATTTACTCGTCACTCTGTTATCGTCTCAAATGGCAACTATGAACCTCGTAAAGCAGGAATGCCGTGTGCATGAATTGATACCGAGTTTTGAGCTTAGCTTGCTCGTTTTGTTTTGCAGAAATATCACCTGAACCACCATTTTCGCATCCAGAACAAAGGCTTCGGCATCACTTCTGCGTTGTGGGATAGAGTGTTCGGAACACTTCCTCCATCAATGTCAGCCAAGAAGAGTAGGTAATTAAGTAATTTGATCCATCCCAGGTTAAGAATTGGTAAATTATTATAGAATTCAAAATTGTGTTCCCCAACCCACATTCTTCCACTACTGTAACTTGGTACCAGTGTTGTTCTAGGCAGTGGCTTCAGAGTGCAAGAATTTGTGTACTGTACTGTACTGTATCTATTACTCCACTTCATTAATTGTTTGCCCACATCGTACTAAAGTTAAGTTACCATAATGTCGTGCAAGTACAATTATACACTGGATCGAGTCTGAGAATCACATTGTGAGAGTTACATCCAATATAGTGGGCTCTTTGTGAGTACCAGATACAATCCTCCCACCTAATGATTTGTTGAACTATCGTGATTTACTTATTCATTATCTGGTCAGGCATGGGGTAGGGGAGTACAATTATTGACCGTTAATTTAAAAATAAATAAATAAAATTATTTAACTTTGACAATAAAAACGTCACGACACCACTTGATTAATTAAAAAGTTTATTTCTGGAATAATTCATTATAAAATGTCTTTATGTAAATTCTTATCCCTTTTATGGGAAGAAAGTTAAAGGAATGAAAATCAGGGAGGGGGAGGGGAATAGAATCAGTGGAAGATCCCCAAAATTGTGGACAGAAAGCTTCAGCTATAGGCATGGTGAAGTAATGTGCGTAGTTTGTCACATGGCTAAAGGTAACGTGACACTGATTCCTAAGGTTTATATTATTGCCAATGTAATATACCATTAAGTCTTACCCATTACATTAAGTCTTACCCGTTCTTCTTTCGAGTAAGAGTCAAACGATACATATATGACTTAAACCAAATTCGATTTAGTCTCATTAATAAGATTTCCAGATGTTGATAACTCGGGCCAAATTCGATTCAGTCTTACCAATATGGATAACTCAGGCCAAATTCGATTTAGTTTCACCAATAAGGATATCATATGTTATTTCGAGAATTCCTTTCTATGTCTGATTGTAGGGTATGATTGAATCTCCCACCTTCATTTACTGTGGATGCATTGCGTTCGGAAGTTTATTAATGAATGTCTGTTAGTTTTTTTTTGGAATAAGGTTCAAATTGGCCACTGAACGTAACCTGAAAATGCAATTAGGCTACTGAACGAAAAAAGAAAGTGCAATTAGGCCATTGAACACTCAAAAAATGTGCAATTAGGTCACTGAACTCTCCAAACGTATGCAATTTTACCGGATAGCAGGTTACCATCAATTTTAGCAGGTTACCTGCTTACGTGGCAGCTTAGTTGGCATTTTTAATAATTAATTTTAATAATAAATTTTATAAAAAATTGGAAAAAATTAAATAAAAAATAAAATAAAGTCGTTTTTATTTTTAAAATTTTTTTAATAAAAAGTTATTATTAAAATTTATTAAAAATTAATTAAAATTTATTAAAAATGCCAACTCAGCTGCCACGTAAGCAGATAACCTGCTAAAATTGAGGGTAATCTGCTATCAGGTGAAATTGCACATTTTTGGAGTGTTCAGTGACCTAATTACACTTTTTTTTTTCATTCGATGACCTAATTGCACTTTCACGTTACGTTCAATGGCCAATTTGAACCTTATTCTTTTTTTTTTTTTAATATAATATTAAGTATCGACGCAGGCGAAATTGAACGGTGAGGATGAAGGTGACAGGTGGAGTGGGGCGGCAAAGGAGTGATGTCACAAGGTGTCAGGCGCCTAAGCAAGTGTCTTGCCTGCGAATGGATCAATCTGACTATGAAGAAATCCACTGTTTAATTTATTATTTAATTAAACATAGTTACCAGTTGTCTCTTATCATATACTCCGTATATTATTATCATTTAAGTATATACCAATCATGCTTAGGGTTAAAATGAATCCATGATCCTTCTCTGTAAGATATAAAAAGTATCATTCAAAATTCATAATTTTGTCCGGTACAAAATCAATTTGCAGTTGGACCTCCGACCTTATAGTTACATGTTTCCTTTTGAGTAACTCTAGTCAAGTTGACTGAATAGTTAATTAATTTGATAACAATAAGGTTTAAAGTTCGATTCCAGATTGTCTATTGACCTTCTTAGTTTGAGCTGGATATGGTCACAAGGCGGAATTTATTCAAAGTGTAACCTTCAAATAATGGTTATGTGTTTTTCGTAAATCAAAAAATATAGACAAAACTTGTGTGAGACTGCCTCATGAATCTTTGTCCGTGAGATGGGTTGGATTGAAGACAACGCCACAACGGAGTGTGTAAATAACACAATTTTAGTTATAAGTATTGCAGAGTATAATATTAATCAGTAGTAACAATCAATTTTCACTACATATAAGCATTACAATATATATCATAAGTAACGATTTATTTTTAATTCAAATTGGTATTATTATTATTATTATTATTATTATTATTATTATTATTATTATTATTATTATTATTATTATTATTATTTACAATAAGTAATACGGAGTACAATTTTTCATAACTAACATTTCACATATAAATATTACAATATTTATCATTACTTCATTAGTAATAATCAATTTATCCTAAATAGTATCATAATTTCATTTTTATATATATATATATATAGACAGGGGGATACCCAATTAAATCAAATGCCTCCACCGAGGCACGAACCTATCATCTTGGTACCACTGGACTACAAAGTCCTTGGTTCATAATTTCACATATAAATATTACAATATCTATTATAAATAACAATTTCTTCATTTTAAATTTGTATTAAATTTTTGACAATAAATATTATGATTTCTATCATAATTAACAAGCAACTATCATATTCTAAATTCAACCCGTCTCTCAAATTAAAATCAGTGAGACACTATCAGACAAGTGTGACTTAAGAATATAATATTTCATTAAAAAGGAGACCTCAAACAAACGTAAGCCTCGAGGTAATCAAGACTAATCTGTCATTATGCAGTGCCTAATCAAGTCACAAAACATAATAAATTGTATAATTTAATTAATTAATTAAAAAAAAAAAAAAAGATGGCGTTTAATTAAAGGCGGATATCACATGGGGTAGGATGCTTGTGATTCCTTTGATCTTATATTATAATAATAAAAATTATTAAAAGCGATGGAAATGGGTGACAGAGAATCATATCCCAGTCTTAATTTGTTTGTATGTGAGGCCCCTAAAACCCTAACCATAAGGGGAATTGTCATGCATGGGAGTGGGGTATGAACCCCCTCCTCTCTTTTGTCTGCACTAACCTTATTCAATTCGACTCAAAATAGTTTTCTTCTCAATCGAAAAGGATATTTAATTTGCCACTTCTAACTAACTGTTTCAGCTTTCTGTTTCATAGATTTGGACTGCTGGCTTCAATTGGATCACACTTGGTGCAACTTTAATTTTGCTCAATGTGCCAACATTTTATTGGACCGGGTCTTGTCTGACGTGACGACGAGACGGAACTGACTGCAGCACCAACACTCATGCTTCAATTAAATCTAATCGTGTTAGATTGTCTGACGTGACGACGGAACTGACTGCAGCACTAACACTCATGCTTCAATTAAATCTTATCATTTTAGATTGTCTGACGTGACCACGGGACTGACTGCAGCACTAAAACTCATGCTTCAATTTGGTTTATGTAATACTTTTGTTAAGCTTCATGATTTATCCGTGTTTATTTATACCCTTTGTTCTCTATATCACAATTTGCATCTATACGCTTATGAAACGTACGGGCTGAACTCAAATTTGACCGAAGGTAAGCATCATTTGGATTAAGTCTAATCTAACATGACAGGATTGATTAGAGCACCAAATTTGAAAAGCATCATTTGTGTGTGTGTGTATATATATATATATATATATATATATATATATATATATATATATATATATATATATATATATATATATACACACATGGCCAATTGGTAGTTGCATTAATGTGTTATGTATGGTAATTAAGAGGACACCTTGTAGAGATGACAGAGGAGTCCAGTTATTGATTAACAAGTTGGTAATGAAAATAAATAAATAAATAAAATAGTATGGAACCATGGGCAGCTGGCAATTTATAATAATAATAAATAAATAAAAATAATGAATGCAAATTTATATATCCAGGCAGTGCAGTCTCCCCATGGCCTCCATATGCATCAGTATATTCCCCAGTTTCCAACATCATGTGCAGAATGTATCTTGGCTGCTCCTTAACATGTGTGTGGGTATATAACCCCACCCCAAAACCAAATATATAAATAAAAATTTACAACTTAAATTTACAAACTAACAACCACTTTCAATAGAAATTAGCGAATTTATTCAGCTTTTGTTTGTATACCTCCCCCCCCCCCCCCCTCCCCTCCCCTCCCCTCCCCTCCCCAAAAAATGCATCAATAATGCAATTGCATTCTTCAATTTAAAAAAAAAAAAAGTTTTAATTAAACTCTTGAACTTATAAAAAAAAACGTAATTAATATCTTTAGCAGGTTTTCATAGAGTAATATGTTTACTAGATATGCCATATGACTTTTTTTAGGTGAATAATAATAATAATAATAATAATAATAATAATAATAATAATAATAATAATAATAATAATAATAATAATAATAATAATAATAATAATAAGATTTTAATATTTTTTGAAAAATAAAATTTGGCTTCCATCGCATTCGAGAGATGAGACTTTTCGTCTTTGTCGTTGCTCAGAAGAATACCGTTCGGATCTGAGTGAAGAACATGTCTTTGTCCAAATCCAAAAAAATATAGGTGGCCGACGAACAATGGCGAGGGAGAGGCTAGAGGTCACCGGTGATGTCAAGATACTTTTTTTTTTTTTTTTAAATACATATCAAAATCAAATAATAATAATAATAATAATAATAATAATAATTATTATTATTATTATTATTATTATTATTATTATTATTATTGTTGTTGTTGTTGTTATTCTTATTATTATTATTATTACATCACATCAATTCTAAAAATACAGACTCATTGCCAAATCGCTTTTAAAAAACTACATACCATGTCTAGTCAGCATATTATTTAGTAATAACCCACTAAAAATAATGTTAATTGCACTTTCTTTTACAAATTCAAACATTTAATTGCACTTTGTTTACAAGTTCAAAAGTCTAATTAAAGCTTTAAGAAAAAACATCAAGAACTTAATTACACAAGAGCTTCTTTGATCATTTTTATAAAATATTTTCACAACTTAATGTTTTACACGAGATTATTTCTAACAA